AAAACCAAAATATAAAACACCAAAAAATGTTGTCAAATAAAATCATAATCATTCACGTATCTTAATTCATCTTACTCACATATTATATAATTATAATTTAAAACTTTTAACTTTGAAGTGTTGAAAACAAGTTACTATCAAATCATTGGGATGGTTGGTTGAACATTTAATAATTCTCTAACTTTTTCTAAGTAAACATATTATTATAAAAAATGATTTTATTCATAACCTTTACTAATAATAAAATCTTACAACATCACATCACATAGTTTTTATTTAACCTTTTTTTATTTGAGTGTAATGCTTAAAGTAATACTTATTTTACTCATATAATATCGATATACCACGTAACTATTATAAAATTACTATTAGTAAATGTTGTTAACGAATCGTTGTTAATATTATTAAGAAATCCCTAGCACACCTAATCCATTCTCTACTATGAAATGTTGATGTTTCACTATCCTTTTCCATTGAAGGTTTTCCTTTGTCAAATTTTCCATAACTGGTTGTCTTTGACCTTATACCTCATGAAAGTAAGGGCAAAAACAAGAAAAAAAGATGTTTCCACTGCCAGTTTATTAAGCTCTCATATATGTCCACTGAATAAGTGCAGAATTGTCGGCCAGATACATACTCATTGTACTTCTAAATTGATACTTCAATGTTATAGGACAAAACGTAAACACATTTTTTTTTCTTTTACATTTAGAAGTTTCCATGCATTAGGTATTTAGGCGGCTATAACCTACAAACACATAATAAGTCATAGGCACTCCACTAAAGCGGTTTGTTGATCGTGCGTTTCATGAGATCATTGGACTGTTTACTTGATTTGGGATTTGAATCTCTAATTATTAATATTTAACAATATTAACCTATTAACTATTGTCTTTATAAAAAAAAAAAAAAGTCATACGTAATTTAACGTAGATATGATCTCATACAAAACTCTTCGCGGTAATCAAGCCTTTTTGGTAGAATCGAGGACCAATAATATCGACACAACAATTAGCTTCGTGATAAACATTGAGGAAAATAATTGACAGTTAAATTTCGAGTTAATTTACCGTATATTTAGATTGAAAAAAATAAAAGAGAGAGGAATGAGGAAAAGGAAAA